CTGGTCCTGCGGAAGACCAGACCCAAAAGTTAATTTCGAGCACTGAAGGATGACGTAAAGGGACCGCTTAGGTAGATTTTGTGAAAGTTATTGTCCAGTCATACTTTGCTACTCTTTTGTGTTACGTGCTATCAGTGACATTATGTGGAGCAGTTGTTTTGAAAGTTATGGACCAAAAGACACTTGCTAAGCGTGGATGAAGTTATAAGGTGCATATAACTGTGTATATATAAACACTTGGAGAGTCTGCCAGACACGAGTTCACAAATCTTTGATTGAAAACCTTGCCAGACGCTCTTTCTCTCTTTTTGACTGAAATAAGACTTAGCCTCAAACAAGCAAGATGAGTGAACAACGGCTAGCTTTATATCACTAGCAGAACAATGGACGATTACAGAAATCTGCCAACAATCAAATTCTGTGCGGACTTATTCCCTGCTCACAGATGTCCTTCCGCTATAAAGTTTAACATAAGACTAGAATGCACCAGCGTGAATTGATCAAATGTCCTTTTAATTTCTAACATGAACTGAATGTAAAAAGTGAAAGAGAAATAGCGAAAAATTCAACTTCTAATTTAATCTTTTCCTATGGTCTAGAATATAAACTATTCTCGAAAATGAGAATGTTTTGATCACAGCTGTGTAAATCGAACTGAAACTGATGCATTTATTTATCTCACGCATTGTATGGAATATGTATGGGAATCTTCATTATGAAAAGAGCTACACAACGAGCAAGAATACTGCTGACCGACAATATACACAGCGGGGGCAACTGTAGTGTCAACAATAATAATTCTCATACAAGGTTTTTGTCCACTAAAAATTGAAATTACTCAATTTCCTGATGGATTCCGTCTTAATTTATTAATAAAAACGAAAAATTAAATTGAGTTCAGTTTATATATTTAATCTTTACATAGTTATGCACTTTCTTCTTTCGATCTGATTTAAGATATTTTTTAGTGTCACGTGTAAATTCAGTCAAAGTGAGTCTCGACTGGTGTAGTAAACAAACGTTTTTTGGCGAAACGTATCAAACATACATCTACAGTAAACTGAGTGAAAAATGTAAGTCGGAGGCTGTAAACGTCCTACTAAACCTATGTAAGCTTGTATGTACCTGAATCACTTTGGTGTTGTTCGCCTTGAAGAGAGCAATGCATGCCACACTCAACTTGGATGGCTTCACTTTCTTCTTCACTTTCTTCTTCTCCTGTGGCTAAAATGAAGAGCAAGTAAGCTAAACATCCGACGAAAAAGTATACAGCAAAATGTACTGCGTATAAATTTTCATTTTACCGTTCCGAATGATATTGTCATAAAAAGCTTAATTTGAGCACCAGAGCAAATGCGATGCGGGGCGATCGCAAAACATCTAAGAGAACAATAGTCGACTGTCGTGTAATTCTTTTTCTTTCTCTTTCACGGACACGAACATAATTATGCTAACTACACGGTAAGATTACTCTTTGTTCGAAAAATGCAACAGGCATACTAACCAGTTGTCATAATGTCTTTCTCCCCGCAAATATTTAAGATTAGCGGGACAAGCTGAAGCCTTCTTCTCCGAGATACTGAAACTCGATACTTCAAAGTTTCACCGCTGTGAGTGACAGGCAGGACTGACAGGCGACGTGTGTTGTATTTATGCACAAGCCTTGGCATAGAAAATTCTAAACTTCAGAGCATAATTTGAGACAAAAATGAACATTTCTTCCGAATCGCTCGAACTTCATCAGCGTTGTGAAGTTTGTTTTACTGTATGCCAAATAAAAACAACAGCTGAACCGCGCGTGATGTAATTTAACCAAGAAAGGACAAAAGAAAACCATCGCTGCAAAATTACCCTAATCTTGTATCCATTATCGTGGGAACTTGAACATATTCCCGCTCAAAATAATTTTTTTTTGAACATGGTCACTCACCTTCTCCTCCTTCCCGCTCTTCTACGTTTGTGCCGCGCCTGTTTTCTCTTGTAGCTGTTTCCCGCTGACTTCTTCGCTGCTCGTCGCTAATCCAGCGTCTATTTTCTCTAGCTCTCTCCCGCTCTTTTTCCCGTTGCTCCACGGTAAAATTCCTCCTCCTTTCTCTGTCTCTTTCCTGCTCTTTTTCCCGTTGCTGGTCAGTACAGTTTCGCCTTCTTTCTCTATTTCTTTCTTGCTCTGTTTCACGTTGCTCGTCAGTGAAGTTTCGCCTCCGTTGTCTAGCTCTTTCTCGCTCTTTTTCTCGTTGAGCTTTGCTAGCCTGGCGCCTGCTTTCTCGTTTTCTCTGTCTTTCTCTTTCTCTATAACCCAAATTTGCTGACATGACAAATAATTTAAGCTTAATGTTTTTAAATACACTGTATACGGTAACAAACTGTTCGGTACAATTTTTTACTTCTGTTTACTCTCCTGTAATGGGTCAGTTCTCTCAAAAGTTTTCTCTTCCCAAGACGCGGGTGGCCATACTATTTCCCGCCAAAAACACCTCAAGTTACCTGTGGTGTCTTACCCCCCTTGCATTGGTGTGCCTGTGGTGCGGACGGACGATCGGGCGTACGGTCACGTGATTACCAAATTTTCTCGGATGGGTAGATTACCACATTTCCTTAGCTATGGAGCTCCGCTATCAATCGTTAAAATCATGAAAAATCGATAATATGGATTTGACTCAGCAATTTATTTTATCGATTTTCACAGATCAGTCCGTTATCGATCAATAAAAATCACTTGATTGCTACCGATTTTTATCGATGTCGATTTTATCGATTGACTACTCCGGGAACACTTAGCACGTTGGCTAGGATCAAGTTCAACGTCTGAGTCACAGCAGGGACCGAAATTTGGGACGTCATTAGTGCAAAGCACTATTGTCGTTTAGCTGGGGCTTGGGAAGTCGCCCAGTCTCCTTCTGATGAATCCTATCCGTACTGGACTGCTTTGTTTCACTTAAATAACTTTTTTGACTTTGTAACCTAGCATAGAGTATTTTAATTTCTTTTTTCATGAACGAAGTACATGAATCATATCATATTTGGGTTCCTTAAAATGAACACAAATTGTAAGTTTCGAATCGTTTATCACTTCAACAGACAATGAGTGTTCCCATAGTAACGTGCTTATTTTGTAATTATTGCTTCTCAGTTGACTACGAGGTAATAATGGTCGGACTAGTTAAATTTAAAGTCTAGTTTAAATAAAATCCTCAAGCTATAATTCCTAGCTGGCTCAGTGATCTTCAAACCAAGCCTGGTCTTAAATCATAGGCGTTGACTTGTTTAGTAATGTTTCAGATGGTTATCAGTGCTAAACTTTTAGTTGACTCCTTGTCACTTCTTCCTAGGGACATGTAATATCAGCTAATGGCGTCACAATAAACGTCAAAAGCGATAAAAGGCTAGTAGCTTAGTCGTTAGTAGCTTCTAAATAAATTCTCATTCACTTAGAGACCAGACCAAATTCCTGAAATTAAGGCTTGGAAGGGGGTCGTAATTTTAAGAACATTTGAATGATATTATAAGATCATTCCGTGGACTTTTCAAGCCTCGCCGGTATATACAAAGTTTACTTTTAGCTATTAAATTCGTATGATTATTCATTCAAGAATATTGAACACTTTACTTGCTCTGGCTTCACTTTCATCATTTTTAGAGTAGTTAAAAAATTGCAGTTATCCGGTTTCTCCTCCCTTGGTCGTCTTGCTTTCATTTTTGTTCTCTTTAAGAGTGTCTTCTGAGCTAAATGCACTAGCAAATCTCTTGTCCTCGAACTTTTTGTCTGTTCCTTAACCCTTTGCCTTCTTAAGACTTAAGAGCGCGAAATAGAATCGTGAAAGTAAAGCCAACAACAGATGAAAAAAAGTAAAGTTTCAACGAAAGATCGATTGCCAGATTTTTTTCTATTTAATTTTCACTAAATCGCTTTACTCAGTTTAACAAATTAGATAATACTACAGTAAGTCTTCATTCTTGCCAGCTTGAAAAATAATTGGCCTGTCAAAACTGAACTCGGTTTCTGGTCCCAAGTTTTCAAAAGGTAGATAAAGTTATCCAATAGATAAATCTCTCTCTACTGGACCTCGCAATTGGTTTTTGGCTTATACTCATCCGCTGTGGATAGTGATTCATCTCATCGATGGGGATGATCAGTCTCTTTGCCAACCCCCCCCCCCCCCCCCCCCCCCCCCCCCCCCCCCCCCCTAAAAATATTTAAAACCTTTTTACGGGGGAAAAAAATTTATTTTTTTTATTTTCCCAACCAAAACCTATTTTTTTACCTCCTCCCACCCCCCCCCCCCCCCCAGTTTCCCCTTTAAAAAAAAACCCTCTTCCTCCCAAAACCCCCATAATAAAAAAATAGGCATCATTCGTGCCAGCTTTAAAAAATATTGGCCTGTCAAAACTGAACCCGGTTTTTGGTCCCCAGTTTTTAAAAGGTAGAGAAAGTTTTCCAAAAGATAAATCTCTCTCTACTGGGCCTCGCCATTGGTTTTTGGCTTATACTCCTCCCCTGTGGATAGTGATTCATCTCATCGCTGGGGATGATCCGTCCCCCTGCCAACCCCCCCCCCCCCCCCCCCCAACCCCACCTCACCCCACCATTAAAATATTGCAAAGCTTTTTACGGTGGTAATAGACTTAATCTTTTCAGTTGACACAACCAAATCGTTATGTGTCACTGCTCTCAACCGACGCAGCGCCACAGTTTCCGCTTTAAAAACTAACCCTTTACTCTCATAAACACCATTAAGTCATAAGTATAACCTCTAAACTGTGATAAAGAACCCTTTTTCTTTTCACCGTAGTTGCTAAAGTTCCTAAAAGGGCAATTGTTAACTAAAAGGTTACTACCTTTCCACAGCACGGCATTTCTTTCATGACAGCCAAAACCTAACCACAGGCTAACAGCACAGAGTTTGAAACTGGGATTTTACAAATTTAAATAAACCTAATACTAAATGACTGATTACTTATTTGAAAAATATAACTTCCAGAACAAACATTTGAATACAACATTAGTTTTTATAAGTCTGATAAAACACTTCCACGTCATGGGGTTGGAAATTGTAACTTCCAGCCAACAAGCTTCCTGCCTCACTTGAACTATATCTGTATCCCGCTACTTGCACGTAACTGTGGCCTAAATTTGTGTACGAGTTGGTGTTGGAACCGGCGCCATCGGCGATGTGAAAATCATGCCCACCACCAAATGTTGGGCCATAGCCGTTGTTCCCATATATGGCGTCGTTAGTATATTTGACGAGAAGCTTGAAAGGTTCCAGGCCATCTTTGTTTTTAAAGGAGAATATAAAGCTGTGGGCCGAGTCTGTGTAGGAGCCGCTGGAATCTAAAGCAAATGGCGTTAATTGATTACTGTATTAGGAAATATAAAAAAGTATCATTTTTTTGGCCGACCAGATCTAGAGAAGGCGATTTTCCTTTTCTGTTACACGCAGCAATGATATACCATTAGAGCTTTTTCCACCAACCTTGTTTCCAGTTTTTCTCCCTCCCACTTTACCTTCATGAACGCTACAGGAGTGAAAAGGAGAGGTCCTAGAAACGGGTTTCCTTGTTAAACCTTGGAAATAAAGTTATAAGGGTAACGAACTGGGCTCAACCCCCTAAAGAAGAAATACTACACAAATAGGCACGTTTCAGTTTCACTTTTTTCCTTTTGAGTGCCCGTGATCATGATTTTCTAGAAATGTTTTTAGAGTCGATGCCCTCTTACCATTGACACGATTGTATGTGACTATCAGGGAAACGGCCAAAAGTTTTTATTCGTCAGGAGGCCTAACTTCGAGTTAACGTGAAAATTTTTTCACACCCCAAATCACTTTTGAAGATTATCTCGTGGCTAATGGATTCTCTTGTTATCTAGAGCCAGTAATGGTCTTGAGAAATATAATACCTTAAAGGCATTTTTCAGTACTGCAAGGAAACTGACTTTAAATCCAATTGCTAAAACAACAAGTATTTTAAAGGTTTCTGTGCTTAACTGTCGTAAATTAATCATGAGTAACTCTTAAGAACCCTATTTCTTTTGGGAAATTAAACGGTTTCCCCGAAATTTCAAAATAATACTCCTTTAAAATGCTTTTTGGAGCAACTTTGCATTCCAGTTTCCCCTCTTAAATATATGAGGAGAATAATCGTTATGTTCTTCTTACCAAAGTTTCTCATACGGATGTTTTTTCTCTGACTTGATGGGGACAAGGGAACCTAATTTATTAAAATAAACAAACTTACGCCAGTTTCGGTCAGTATATCCTCCAAAAATATACTCTCCCACCCTTACAAAGGTCACTGTGGGACCCAGGCCATCGCACAGTGAGTGAAATGTGCTGGAACTCCATCCATTGTCCCTAGCTCGGTAGCAGAGCTTCCACTTGGATGGTAGTGTGGATGCCGGCTCCAACCAACCCTTCAGCAGCTCCCAGTACTTCTTGTTGTCTAGGAGGATTTTAGATGGTTCAAATTCGGGCCCTGTTGAATAAAACAATTGTTGAGCAAATTCAAGCATTTACCGGAATTTTTAAATGTTGGACATGTAGACTGAACTTACTTGTCCAGAGACAGACATGATGGTGTAAGTTAATGTTTTATACCTTATAATATATTTAGGAAATTTCCAATGCCCTTAAAATCAAAGAATACTGAAGTATCGCTCAATTTGGCCAAAAGTGGTCCATTCGCAATGTGCTTTTAATGGTTAGTTTCACTAATTTCTAAAACTTATTATCTTAACTGAGTCACAAAAAAAGAAAAATCAAAATTGTTAAAAAAGCCCAACATTGTTGACAAAAACAGAACCTTTTTAGATTTCTTCAAAGACTTTAGTTAATAACTGAAACATTCGATTCCGTGTATAAAACCTTGATGTAGTGCAAAATATAGAAATTTCCTTAATTTTGAGAAAAGTGAAAACCAAAGGAGATTTACAATCTCTTTAATCGCCTTGGCTATACCAAGAATACCATTTTAAAGGAATAAATAAAACCATTCTCTCTTGAAAACACAATCTTCTTTCTTGTATTTCAAGTTCACCTTCGCATTTTGGTGCTTCCATGCTCCAATTTCCAGTCGTTTCATTGCAAACTCTGACCAGCGGTCCTCTCAGCCAATAACCTTTGTTGCATTTGTACGTGATATTTTGTCCTTCCCAGAATTCATTTCCTATTATGTATCCATTTTCCACTGGAGAGGGCTCATCACAAAAACGGTGGCCTGAAAATTACAAACACATTATACACACGCAAGGAATTAAGCATATACTCTGACGTGTCAAGGCAAAACCACAGAAACAAATCAGTGAAGTCAGTCGGATCTTGAGTAGATCTGGATCAGTAAAATCTCCAATAACAAATTATAAAAAAGTAAACTGATCCTAATGGCAGGAAGAGTGAGTGTCGCGTACCCAGTGCAGCGGACACGGGATGTTATGCACTGGAGATCAGGAAGTGTCAACTACAGTATAGAATTCAACAGCACAAGTTGACTCAACAGCATTTAATTTGAACACCAATTCGTCTGAATTATTGTACACATGCGGTGAAAACTAAAAGGGGAAATTACAATGTACAAGATCAAAAAAGGGGCTAAGACTAATTACAAAAGAAGCAAAATTGAAAGGAAAACGAAAACTGAATACAATAAGCTGAAACTTACGTCTGATCCTGTCTAAAGGGCTAAAGAAACTCCAACGTTACGTAACTCCGAAAAAGATAAAACTGCTCTGAAAACTCCGATGTTGCTCCGTAGATCTCCTAACTCCAACTCCACAAAAACTTAAGGGGCGTTCTCTGATAAGGGTACAATTCACGTGTACAGTTGTAAAACCGGTTAAAAAAACAGGTAGGGCTAGCTACGTAATTGATTCAAACTGTGAACAATAGTACATGAAAATAGGGGCGTAAAAACTCGATAAATGAAACAGAACAGAAACGTATCTTATCTAAATCAAAACAAAACTCAGCTTAATTACGTAATCAAGTTCTCTTTGATTAAATGTTCATTGTTCATCACAGTGAGAGAAAAAGTATAAAGAAAGAAAACAAAAATGGTGAATTAAATTTGGGGGGCTGGGCACCAACATGGCTGCCACGCGAGTCTTAGCTCGTCTTGTTTTACTCTACATTACCCTAAGGGCTACTCTTCATGATTTCTTTCCACTGCGAAGACGTGTGAGGGAGCTGACATTATCCAGAATTTGCAGAGGAACTTGCTCCCGTAATTGCTTCCATCTTTATCTTATCGATCAAGTCTCGAACTGTGCCTTGTATTTGCCAATATCTACCCCATTCCTAAGGATATCCCGCTGCCATCCTTGAATCAACTTCGCCCTATTTCTGTTACTGATATTATTATTAGACTGTTAGAGAAAACTATTTAGGTAGCAGAAGTGAAGCCTGTCGTCCTCTAAGGCCTTCGATTCACTTAATCACTTTATTTTATTTATTAATAACAAGTTTAGGGAATTGCCCGTCAATCCCTACATTGTTAGCTGGATTATTAATAGCTGATGGTAACATGACCCCTTTTTTGCCTATAAACAGGGGTGTACCTCAGGGCCTATTATATTAGGGCCTATTCTTTTTTCTGTAATGTTGAATGATATACAAGCTGTTGATTCTGACAGATCCATTTTGGTTAAGTTGCAAATGACTTAACTTTAAGTGTTTTGGTTAAGGGAACCCAAAACCAAACTCCCCGAAAAGTGGAAAACATACTTAGTTGGGCCCAGAACAACCTTATGACTATTAACCTTACTAAAACTAAGGGTAAAGTTGATAGACCTCGCCACACTATTACTTTTGATATTAAACAGGAATTATTTCTTAACCTTTTACTTTCATAGTAATCCCACAAACAGGGACAAGCAAATCGATTCTCTTCTCGGCAAAGCAGGAAGGCGTATGCACATATTACGAGTGTGCAAGAAGTATAGTTGTAGTCTAGACTCTTTACATCACTTCTTCTATAGTATGATTGTGCCTCTTTTTACTCATGGCATTTCAGTATGTGGTGCTGCAAGTTATGATAAGCATCTTTCTAAAATTGACAAGTTTCACTTGAGAAAAGAGCTGTTCGTTTTGGCTTTCTCAAGGAGGCCACGCCCATTCTAAGCCTTCTAGAGCCCTCAGATAATAAGTTGTGGAAGAACGTCACAAATTCTGCTGAGGGCCCTTTGGCAGATCTCCTTTCACCCAGTAGAACAAGATTGCTAAGGAATCGTAGTAACTGCTCCTGTGTACTTCCTTAAATTAGGAGTGAACGTTTTAAAGGCTGTTTTATTAATAAGTGTCTTTTTAGTTTTATCCAATTGTCAATTTTAATCCGTAATGTTTGTTTTTGGAATCAATAAACAGCTTATTTGTTTACTTATTTACTTTATTTTATTTAATTTACCATTTGATTATTGTTTTATGTTCTATATATGTATTTTTTTTCACCCTTCCTGTCGTAAGGATCAGTTTACTGTTTTAATCAAGCATATACATATACTTATTTTATGAGGCCTTGGTAGTTAAATAGAGTTGTAGAGGCGCTTAGACTGACCTAGACTGACACTAACAACTTAAGCCCGTAAAGGGTTTGCGAGCATAGTTATCGTTGGCAATTAAATCTGTTTCCGATTTTTCGCCTCAGGAGACTCAGGTCATTTCCAAAGATCAAAAGAATCAGTTTTTTATAAGTTAACAAAACGATAATCAACTGTACGTAAAACTCCACTTCATTACATTTTGGAACTACGTCGCTCCAATTTCCGTTTTCCAGGCACATCCTGTTTGTAGGTCCCTCTAAGCGGTATCCTGTATCACATGTATATTTGACCATTTGTCCTGCCCAGTAATTTTCTCCAATCTTATAACCGTGCACAGGCACGCCAGGGTCTCCACAACCAACAAGTTCTAAATTAAAAAGAAAAGTTTATTTAGGCAATGTTATTTGTTATTACGTAGTAATACTTCTTTTCTTTTCTTCTTCTTCTTCTTCTTCTTCTTCTTCTTCTTCTTCTTCTTCTTCTTCTTCTTCTTCTCCTTCTTCTTCTTCTTCTTCTTCTTCTTCTTCTTTTTTCTTTTCGTAGGAATATGCCTGAAGATATAACTTCAACAGGTAATAATAAACATTAACCTATCAAGAATGTTGAACAAGGTTTATTTGGCAAGGTCTAAAGAACCTTCATGAATGCAATCGCTGCCGAAGTGTTTACGGGTTGAAACCCCTCTGTTACTAAGCTTACTTTTATATAATAACTGTTTTACCTGCAGTAGCTGAGGTTTCTGCTGTTCCATTGTCGTAGTTTTTAAAGAAACATGTGTAGACGCCTTGATCAGCGGGACCAAATCGAGAAATAACAAGCTCTCCATTTACTTCTTCTCCCGTCGATGATGTTGTGTTGGTAGAAATCACTACTCCATCCTTGCGCCACTCTAGGGTGGGGACAGGGGAGCCCCGAGCAGCACATATCATGGTAACTGTATCGTAAAGCTTTGTAACTGCGATGAAGGAGGGTGGTGAAGTGGTGATAACAGGATTGACTAGAAATCAGAATAAAAAATCACCAAAGAATAAGAAAACAAACTCATGGTTGACATGCAATAGTAGGTCGTTCATGGTACCTCGCTCAGAGACTTAAGTCAAGAAACATTTCTATTGTTATTTGCCATGTGATCTTGTGGCACTTACTGATAACAGGAAATGTTGGGGAAACTTTTTTTAGGTTCATGGTAACTAGCAAAATTAGTCCATGGGACGTAAATGCCATTTCGAGTGTTGTTCGAAAAAGATAACTTCTGATCCTTCATTTACTATTCCCTAAATTTTAAAATGCAAAAGACTTTATCCTTACCAACAGGCTTCACCACCAGCACAATCAGCGCGTACACGTGACCAAGACTGTTATCGCCTCGGCACATGATTGGTCCTCTGTCTATCTTCTCGGTATCCTTTATAATAAGGTCTTTTCCAGTAGTCACGTGACGGCCGATAGGCAATGGCCTGAATGCTCGGGTCCATCTTATTACGGGCGGTGGATGTCCAAAGATATTGCATGATATAGTGGTATCCCAAGTCTCGTATCCCACGTGATATACCTCAGGTGTCTCTACAAAGCGTGGTGGCACTGCAAAATTGTTTAAGTTATGTTAATGAAATGAGCGGAGGGGCTTTTAGGAAAGGACATTTAGTTCATGCCCGAGTTAATTAAATACCGCTATTTTCTTGAACCAGTTCAACGTTTATGTCTTTTTTTAAGTGGTTCTTAAGTTTAAACCCTCAAAAATGAGTCGTATCTGTAATACACTCGTTTAACATTGACAAACATTCATATAAGTTAACTACCGCACGCTGCTTAGAACTAAGAACAGCATATACGCAACAAAATAATAAAACAACAACAACAATATAGATAATTTTACACAGCCACAAAAGGACTAATATTTTGTGAACTGATCCTAGAGATCTCTCCTACGTTTAAGGACTGGCGAATATTACAGCTTCATCAAGGTTAAACACCTACCTTGGACAAATAATTCCACAGTAGCAGAATCGAACCCCAGAAAATTCCTCGCCTCGCATTTGTACACACCTCGATCAGCAAACTGAATGCTGTTAAGGGTCAACATTCCTGTATCTGCATCATAATTAGCACTGTCAAGCGCTTCACCGTTCTTGTACCACGTGATCGTCGGTTTAGGGATGCCACTGGCGGAGCATGGAAGGGAAGCGTTGTTTCCTTCCCTCGTAGTTAAACTGGCAGGAGGTCCGGTGTTGATCTTGGGCAAATCTGGGTATTTAAACATGCAGCCACGGTAATTAGTTTCCGTGCAATAATAACTGCAGTTAGTAGTCTATTTCAAGATTATATTTGTTACCTCCAAAACCGGGTGGGGTAAATAGAAAACTGAATTCACCCAATTACTCTACCTAACACTGAACATTTGCGTGAGAGGGATTTAACATTCACTACTGCCGTGTGTTTGATCAACGCTACTTCCATACTCTGAATGAAACTGCGAAGGTAAGAGTTTTAATTGTGAAAGGATTTTGCCTTCCTAGTGATACTTACAATGACATTCAAATCCAGTTAGCAAAATAGAAAAGAGTATGGTGATCTTCAGTTCTCGTCCCGTTCAATATTCAGGCCATCATTTGTTTTTCGTGAGAAACAGTTAACGGTCAAGTTAATTGCAAGGAAAGTTTGGTCTTGGCCCGTTGTACATCTTAAGTAGATATAACTACCTATATCTTCAATCAGTTTTGATGTGTTTCCTGAAAAAGCTTTTCCAGGTCTTCCTTTGGGTCCCCGGGGGCCTTTTTCGCCAGGTGGTCCTTGTTTACCAGCTTTTCCTGCTTCACCTTGCTTGCCGCGCTTGCCTCGAGGTCCTTGTTTTCCTTGCGGCCCCCGTTCACCTTATAGCAACAAGTTGAACTATCAGTGACAAGCCCTGAGTCACTTAATTATAATAAGTTTAAATACGATCTTGCGACATGGAGAGATTTTATGCGAGGAACTACTGCACTTTTGTCTTTTTGTCCAAAAAAGGGAGACAGAAAGAGAAGAAATTAATAAAGAAAGAAAAGAAGTGGCTCGAAAGAAAGAGTATAAGTATGTCTCACTTACGAAGAGAATAGTCCATTGTATACTTCTTAAAAGTTATTACTATATCGTAATATGACTCTTTTGTTAAATATGCGTTTACCCTATTACGCAAATTTGACTACTGAATGCGGCAGCATATAAAAACCGTCAAAAGACGGATTAAATTCGTCAGTCGCATTTTATAGCGGCTTTGCAACCAAAAATATCTAGACTGAACTCTGGCAGACGACCAATGAAATCCAAGTTTAGTTAATTATCAACGTAACTGACGCGGACAAACGACTCACTTCAGTTTGACTCTATATTATATACCGCAGGGTTTGTCCAGATTATTTAGTCAACAATACTATATTCAGCAACATTTAGTGGGAAATAGTTTACTTACCCCTTGTGCAAATTACGCCTTTATCTGTGCCATTGTTAGATTTGACAGAAACCTAAAGAAAAAAAAAAACAAAAACAAAGCTATGCAATTAAACTTGTAACCGTTAGTGTCATCGATCATTGAGACTTTTCATTCATCATGAAAAAATAACTCGTATCTTGCATATATTATGTTGAAATCAATAATAACTGTATAAATAATTTATCTCGAATCTGTTAGAATCACACCTGCTCTGTGTGATGCACGTTTAGAAACACTTCTTATAATAAAGTCGGTTCAAGCCAGCGACAACAAAGTAATTGACCCTTAAATTATTTTATGAATATGTCAGCGTGTATCACAGAATTTTCTTAGTGCCCGGACATTGATAATCCCATTGTTTACAAAAAGATTTTTTGAATTAGTGAGATGGATTTTGCGTTGTAGGTGATGCACCTGTTTTCCTTCAACAGAGAGCTGTCAGATAGGGCACCGATCCCTTCCTACTACAGGAAGGATTGAAAAATCCTAATCTAGCTAAAAATGAACCAAAAGAAATTGCCTGCAAGAGTTATTGATCGCATCTGAGCCGCAAGGAATGTATTTAGGAAATCCGCGTTGTTGACACAGTGACTGTATTTTTATGATTATATAATTCTTAATGTTGGGTAGTGCTTAATTCTTTCCTCAAATATTTCTGTAAATTATCTACATAATTTTAATGTTGAATAAAATTATTTTTATTGTTATTAAAAAAATAGATAAAATAGACAGAACAGCGCAAATAGGGAAAAAGGAAAATGGTTGCGTAGACCAGTAACAATTATAGTATGTATAAATGGATTTTAAAATGATTTTCAAGAAGGCCCCTTATGTTCTTCATCATCATCATCATCATCATCATCATCAACATTCGTCCCCTTTTTGTTTATACAAGAAAACAACTACACTTCAAAAGAATGAGAAATAGAGAAAATAGTGAAACAGTGCATCAAAAATATCCTCTTCTTCATATGATTATGGGTCATTTATTCTTACCTTAGCTGACGTTCCTAAGCCAAACAGTTTGACACAAGCATTGTGGCAGCTGACGCAGTTTTTGGACCCACTAACAGACTCAGAAGATCTTTTCATTCGATGTGATGTTTCATAATCTCCACTATCGATAGTTTCAGCCTGCAATGTCACCCGCGGCCTTGACTGAAGCTGAAACACCTGTTCCTCCAAAACTCGTACTTTGTAAATAACAACTCCAACTGAAGCGAGAGTCAGTATGAGGTTCACCAACAGGCCAATGGCCAAGAGGCTATTGCATCGCGATTTTGCTTGCTCCATTCTGGTTCGTGTTGAATTAAGTTTACGGTTTTGGTTTTAGGACTCTGTATATATTTGATCTCAGGCTGAAATTTAAGAGCAACAGATGAGGATCTGACGCTTCAGCAAAAGGGAAAATTAGTTTCAGCAAAAGGGTCCAAGCAGTTTAAGTAGTAAAATAAACGGAAGAAACTTTGTGTTTTGAACGTTACTACCGTCTCTGAATCACGTAGCCTAACTGCTATGAGAGGAAGTGTCTTACAGCTAATCAAGGGTGCCAAATTTCAACTGGCTGAATTGGATCCCAATTTTTATTTTTAAGGAAAGGGTTTTACCTTAAAAATCTAACGCTGAAGAGAACGTCGAACGCCGAGTCAGTATTATTTGAACAGCAATGCTTTAAGGATCTATCAAGAATGCGGAAGGCCGTGGCTTAAAATTACTTCCTAAATGTAACTTTCGAAGGATTGGCAGACTGGATCACCTGCATTTAAAATGCAGAAGGCAAAGGTTAAAATTTTTCCATATATATAACTTTCTAAGAATTTAAAAACTTATTAAATTTTACTTTCGGGAAATCGAGGAATAGCCTCAGTCAAGAGGCATTTAAAAAATTTACCACTTTATATCTTTGGTCGAGGTGAAAAATATTCAACGCTGGTCTATTGAGAATCGAATGACCCTGACCCTCAAAAAAAAGTGGGAAATGCTGGTTAGAGGAAATACTAAGAAAGCATTCCCAGCGCCCATGAAGGGTATTGAGAGGAAGTAAAAATAACATTGGCAGCCGGTAACATTTAACGAGCAGCCATGCAAAAGGGACACACTTTTCGATTTACACTGCTATTTGATAGGCTTACTATGCCTTTGTTCAGTTACCGTAAAATTCCGAAAATAAGCCCAGGGCTTATATTTTTCAAAGGCCCATTTTGAGAGGCTTATTTTTGGAGGGGGTTATATTCGGAGGGGCTTATTTACGGAGGGAAATTTGCGTTTCTTAATCGATCGGGCTATAGCCTTATAGTTGGAAGTAAATTTACCGTTTTTGCTTTGTTTTACTTTGTATTTGAGGGTAATTTTCCAAGTACAAGCCCCCGAGGGGCTTATATTTGGAGGGGCGATTTAAAGGAGGAGTTTTTGCGTTACCCGTTTGCGGGGCTTATATTTGGAGGGGTTTATTTTCGGAATTTTAGGGTATGCTATTGAAGTCTGGGTCGTTGTGCCTGTGGCAGCAAATACCATTCTCAATAGGTTTTGTAAGCGTACAGTAAAGTATGGCTATACTGCTCGGTACACTTCCATAACTGATTTTATACGTGAAAGAGATTAGGAGTTTTGAGACCGTACGGCCACTAACAGTCACTATTTAAATGATCTTCTCCTGCCCCATGAAGCGCATGCGGAAACTACGAGACAAGGGTCACAATTACATCTTGCCGCTTGTTAGGACTGAAAGGTTCAAGCAATGTTTTATCAATAGATGTCTTTTTAATTTTATATTTAGATTTTCAATTTTTGTTTATATTATTACGCGATTGTTGTTAACTCACACGTATGCAAGTGGGTGCTATTTTTTTCTTCAATAAATAAAGACTTCATTGATTTCATTATTCTAAAAGAGCATTTTCTGGAGTCAAGGAAGTTGTTATTCAGTGTCGTGGTAATCGTATCCAGTTATTATGTCAAGAAGCATTTAGCCATTCACTTGACAACCGAAATAATACTTCCGTTGCACCTGAAACTGCCGAATAATAACCTTATATCTTATACTCGTTCTGGCTAGGATCTAGCAGATGTTAAAACCAGTCTGAACTATTTTGTTTAGTATAAAACGACAAAAATTGTCTTGCGAGTCCTCTCGGGATTGCCTATATTGTTCCCACAAGAAAAAAGATTCCCTGATTATCAGTGAAGATGACTGTATGTATCAATTACAATTTATTCTAATAGAAATAAAAAATCCAATAAACTAAATGTATCCGTAGTGTTATTGTCAAACCGACGAGCTGTTTCTCGACCGGTCCCGATAATAACAGTGCTCAGAAGGCGGTTTTAAGTTTGCCGTGTTTTTGAACTCATTCAACATCAAGAAAAAGAAAGAAAGGGTGGTTAGGAGATAAAACCACTGACATTCTTTAGATTTTAACTAAAATATAAGATTGAGCCTTAAGAACTTTCAAGAATCAGGCCCCTGGTACTTTGTTTCTTCCTCAAAACAACTGTGGATCAGTATTTTGGCTCACCTGATGGGATTGACTTTCGCGTTTACTCGATTAAACAACGCGGCGCTTATTGTGTTTTTAGCGTTTCCGATGTGGCGTTTATTCAAGGGCGACGTTTATTTCAAAGTCATATTATTTTGTAAAATCACTGACATAAGTTTGTGAATATCATTTGAACGAAACAGATAGATCATCTTTAATTAAAACTGCTCTAGTGTCTCGCTCTTTTGCTCAGATTGAATCTTTAAAATTTTCTGCTAAATGGTGTAGATTAACGAGTTTTTCCTGAAAATCCTCGAATAAATGCAGCATTCTTCTAACTGGATGCGGCGTTTAATCGAGTAAAACCGGTACTTAATTTTAAGTGATGCGGAAGTGAGGGATGGATACCGGATAACGGGTTACGGCATTCTCTCTTGGTTTACGGGGAACTGTTTCTGGTCACTTAATGCATTTTTTCTAACCGTCATCTTATCTTACATATTCCCCTTCCGCGTCTGCGTTGTAGGATTGTAGTGAATCATCATCCTTTGATCTAAGATTAAAGTGCACAAGTCATTGTTCGAAGGCAACGATAAAGACTTGTCCGCGCGTTCTTGTTTAAAACGATTTAGTTTGGCCATGGGCTCTTCTTGCAAGGCGATAACCCATGATCGGCAGTTCTAAACAACTTCATCAAACCACTTAAAAGGATTTATTTTTTTATCACATGATCTTGACATGACGATCAATGCGACATCCTTCTCTTTCAGTTTACTATCGAGGGTAAAATTCCCTGTTCTTTGTTTAGCACCAGTAAGCTTTCATCATTTCTGATCATAACAATAAGAAGTCACTTATGAACCTCTTAAAGATGGCCTTGGCCTTTTCTATTACTTTGAGGACGGCTAAAAAGTTCTAGATGGCCGTTCCATTTATGCAGAATTTTTCGAAGCTTATCTAATAACTGAAATTCCTTCGAATTCTTAAGTTTAACTTTTCACATTTCACTCCCTAGGTTAGGCTATTTTTCGTAGAGAAATTCAAACCTAAAATTTTCGGATTAAAAAATTTGATGTAGAGAGAAATCAGACACTTTGGCAATAAGTTAAATTGCCTCTAAAATTTTCGGGAAAATAATACTGAAGCCCTTGTAATTTCGAAAAGACTCAAGTTCCCTTATTAAGGATGACCGAACAGTTACAAATTTTATATCCCCGCTTGGAATGCACTTCTAGAGATCTAAAAGGACTTTGGATAGCCTCAAAAAGTGTTTTCACTTTATTTTAGAGGAAACCGTCGTTGGGTGCCCCTGATCAGCAACTGTGAAAACATTTTTCTACCAGATGAGGCAAAGAGGTGAACAAACAATGCAAGGAATTCCTTTTTCTTTGATCTCTTGGCTGTTTTAATTGCCTGTCTTGGGCCCTGTCTAGTATTTGGCAATGTTTCATCTAAATGTTATCATTTGCCTTGCACGACATAAAGCCTATTTCATTATATTTGCTTATCAACCGCCGACAAGGTCAGCAAAAGTCATTTTTAAAATCTGAGAGGTCTCAATAGGATACCTTCTAGCAGTAAACTTACACTTGTCATGCCCATACCTTGTCCTTAATATAGCTACTAATAAATTGTTTACAGGTTCTTGAAATCGATATTTGTGTTAAGAGCTTACTCAAATGATAGTCTTGCCAGACCTTGATTTCCGTTCGCGCAGCCAACACTGGATTCGGTCATAAAATTACTTCCTAAATTCAACTTTCGAAGGATTAGCAGACTGGATCCTTTTTTATGGTCGGGATCTCGATATATATATATATAACTTCACAGAAGTTCAGGTTTCACGAGTAATTATCGTTTTCTTGCTATATATATATATAGCTTAAATCATGTAAGAGTTATCAAAAACTTCCCCACCAGATCTTTGCTTTTGCCAAACGAGTATTTTTATGATTAAAGATGTTTTTGTTTTATAAATGTCATTCAACCTAGAAACATTTAGCCATTCACCGCCATTTAAAATTCAAAAGGCCACGGCTTAAAATTTTTTCACAAATGTAACTTTCTAAGGGTTTAAAAACTTAGTACATTTTACGCTCGGGATATCGAGGGTAGCCTAAATCAAGTTATTTAAAAACTTTACCACCTGATTTTTGCCTTTATTCTAAACGTGCATTTTTTGGAGTCAAGGAAGTTATTTCTTGTTAAATAAATGTTATTCAGTGTTGCGGTAATCGTATCTAGTTGTTATGTCCAGAAGCATTTAGCCATTCAGTTGTCCAATCGTAATAATACGGCTTCCGTTGCATCTGAAAACTGCCGAATAATAACCTAATACCTTATTTCCGGGTAGGATCTAGCAGGTGTTTCATCCAAAAAGAACTATTTTGTTTAGTATAAAACGGCAATAGTGTCTTGTGAGTCCCCTCGGGATTGCCTACGTTGTCCCTACAAGTAAAAAACATTCCTTGATCATATCGGTGAAGATGAGTGTATGTACCAATTGCAATTCGGATTCTAATAAAATTTGGCCAATATCGGCCGAAGAACCCTCGAATTGGTCAATAACGTATCGGTAGCGTTATGGTCATAACGAGGACCCGTTTCTCGACCGGTCCCGATAATAACAGTGCCCAGGAGGCTGTTTTAAGTTTACAGTGTTTTTGAATTCATTTATATCAAGAAAAAGAAAATTAGGCTGTTTAGGAGGTTAAAAACTACACTAGCATTCTTGAGAGTTTGACTTTAAAATATAGGATTAATTGCTCCCGGGACTTTCAAGACTCAGTCCCATGGTATTTTGTTTCTTCTTTAAAACAGCTGTGGATCAGTATTTTGGTTAGATCTGAATGGCAGCTAGTTGTCGTGCACCTGCTTGCCTGATGGGATTGACTTTTGCGTCTACTCGATTAAGCGCCGCGGTACTTGTTGGGTTTTTTAGCGTTTCCGATGTGGCGTTTATTCAAGGCTGGCGTTTATTTCAAAATCATATTATTTTGTAAAATCACTGACATTAAATATCGTTTGAACGATACAGATAGTTCACGTTTAAACTGTTCTAATGTCTCGCTCTTTTGCTGAGATTGAATCTTTAAAATTGTCCGCTGAATGGTGCACATTACTGCCGGGAGTTTTATCTTGAAATCCTCCAATAAATGGAGCATTTTTCTAACTTTGTGCGGCGTTTAATCTAGTAAAACCGGTACTTAATTTTAAGTGATGCGGACGTGAGGAACGGATACCGGATAACGGGTTTACAGCATTCTCTCTTGGTTTACAGGGAACTGTTTTTAGTCACTCAATGCATTTTTTCTAACCCTCATCTGCACTGTAGGATTGTCAGTGAATCATTATCCTTTGATCTAAGATTAAAGTCCACAAGTCCTTGTTCGATGCAAGGATAAAGACTAGTCCGCTCATTTCTTGTGCAGTGGTAGCCTGTGTACAGACCCCCCCCCCCCGCCCTTTACAAAGGCAATTTTTGCCTTACAAATTGTTCTGACGAGTTTGGCCATAGGCTTTACATGCAAGGCGATAGCCCATGATCGGCAGTTCTAAATAACTCCATCAAACCACTTAAAAGGATTTATTTTTTTATCCCATGAACTTGACATGACGATAAATGCGACATCCTTCTCTTTGAGTTTCAGCTACCTAGGCTAAAATTCCCTGTTCTTTGTTTAGCACCTGCAATATGCTTCCATCATTTCTGATCATAACAACAGCATGTCACTTATGAAGCCTTGCTCTCCATGAGTCTTTCAGTAACTCAGTGGATAGAGCGCCATCCCTGTCTTCAAGAGGTCATAGACTACCAAACTTTCGTGACTGTAACGAATCTATTACCTCTTTCTCAAGAAATGTGTTTTTTTTTTCCTTTGTTGCACTGCAAATTAGTCTGATTTCCGAGTAGGGCGTAAGGTTTGTGGGCTTAAAAACCTCACCATGTACTGCGTATAACAAAGCTCTCCCCTCGTTCCTGCGTATCATGTCACGTGACGCTCCGACGTGACTTTTCGCGACTCCCCTATGAAATGGAGAGTTTGCTGGCAGGCTAGCCCAACATGTGTACGTGTTAAGGAAAAAACCAAAACTGCCGAAAAGAAGAAAAAATAATAAACAGGGCCAAAAAAAAGCTGATTAAAGGACGCGTGTATTAGAATCGTTGACTACAAAAATTAAAAGTGAATGGTAAAGAATAATGTATGGCTTGGGTAAATCGCAAGAGAGTGAAATGCCATTTACATCATTTTTAGGTCATGTATAATACTTTTATTTCGGACAAAATGGTGAAAATGCCTGCAGCAATGTTTACGACGCATTTAAGTGGCTCAGCGAAGCTTATTGCCAACGAGCAAGCCGAGCGAAGACGGTCGGCTTGCGAGGCGGTCAGCTTAATACCACAGAAAAATTCTCGATCGTGCTGTGAAAAGTGTAATGTAAGTGTAATGTAAGGTGTAGATTCCCTAGGGATTTTAGTAGCGTTAGATTTTACGTGTAGTTTCACGTGACTTTTGATGACCTTTGTTGTAAACAAACCTTCACTGTTCGAACATTGTTCTCTGCTACACTACCGTACTTGTACGAACTACAACTCGCTATTTCAAGTTCGCGCTAACCTATAAATGTTATTTTCCTTTCGTTGTTTGAAACTCGACAAGTTTAAGGTTAAATAATGTCTAAGCAGAAGAATAAGAGCGATTTTAAGGCCGAGAGCATGGCAGAAATGTAGGAATGAGGAGTGCTTGTAGTGGAAATTCTCGCCTCAGCAGCTGAAATGGTCTTATAAACATTTGAACTAAAATCGGTGATATAAGCAAATTCTTTTTCTTTCGTTGGCACTTAGCGAAAGCTACAACTGGTCATAGGGCTAGATTAAGCACACTGTTTGTCCTAGTCTGGCTCATCATTTGGCCCTCAAGGTCAAAAACGTGAGCTTCTTGATCTAAGAAAGCGCGCATCAGCAACTGTGAAAGCATTTTTTCACCACATGAGGCAAAGAGGTAAACAACTGATGGAATGCAAGGAATTTCATTTTCTCTGATCTCTCGGCTGCTTGCCTGTCTTGTATTTGGCAAGGTTTCATCTGAAAGATACCATTTGCTCGAAATAAAGGCTATTCATCACTATTTGCTTATCAACTTCTTTCAATTTCTTCATTTTCTAGTGTTCCATACCTTATACAACCAATAAGGTCAGCAAAAGCCGGCATTAATTTTAGAGACCTTAATAGGATACCTTCTTACAGTAAATTGACACTTGTTATGTCCTTAATATAGCTACTAAATTAGTTTTTTTACAGCTTCCCGTAATCGATATGTGTGTTAAGAGCTTGCGCACATGATAGTCTTGGTAGACCTTGATTTCCGTTCACTCTGCAAACACAGTGCAATAACAATAATAACTAAACACTGAGCACAATGGAGTCCAAATCACATTTCACCAAGTTCTCCAATAAAGAATCATTGGTGATCTTTGCTACGTCGTTGTTCCTCGTCGGGTTGATATTTGTGAGGATAGAGGTTGTACATAGGAAGGCAGAGGTGATGGAAGCAAAACTTGAAAAGCGAATTCAGCGAATCGAAGACCAAATGCAAATGAAAGTACAGACTATTGTGAAGGAGATGCTACTGACAGAGGGAAAAACTATGACAGGACATTCAAGAGTTTATGCAAGCATGGGTAAGTTCAGAACCACTGTTTTTGAATACACAGGACGTAGCACAAGCACTCAACGGCACTTACGATCAGGATTGACCGCCTGACACTACCGTTATGATCTCTATTATGTCTGCAAATATACTTATGCGTGCAAAAGATCACTTTATACCATCTACTAACTATCATGGAGAATTGTTTCTTGTTGACGAGGAGAAAAATCACTCATCCTTTAAAATATTGTCAACGGTAGCGTTTTCATGCATGAGGTTTAAGTGCAGTGGTTTGTCCAATGTACCAGCTTCAGCTGGGTTAGTATGAATTTTAAATAAAAGTTTTTTTTACCGAAATGGGCATTAGAGGTCGCGTGAAATCTGACGCTCAGAAGATGAATTCCTGTTTTTTTTTTTTAAACAGATTTTCAAGAAACCGTAGAAAGCTTTCCAGGTCAGCATCCACGAGAAAGACGAAATATAGCCCCGACAGCTGGTGCTTTATCTTTGCGGCAAATTCGCCAGGAAATCGACAAGAAATTCACACAAGTGTGCAGCGCAGCTGATAAGCTCTGTCAAACAGGTCAACAGGGACCTAAGGGAGAAAAAGGTGCCCTTGGATACCCTGGATACAAGGGAGAGAAAGGAGCTCCTGGGAAGAGCGGCCCTCGTGGTCCTAAAGGCCTCACGGGAACTCAAGGAATCAGGGGAAAACAAGGGCCTACAGGGTCGCAGGGATCCAAGGGAGAGAAAGGTGAAGAAGGAGCTGTTGGTTCTCGTGGAGCAAAAGGAGACACTGGACGTATAGGCCCACCAGGAGAAGGATCTATTGGACTGAAAGGGAACAAAGGAAACAGGGGCTTTACTGGTATTCAAGGACCAAAAGGCGAATGTGTTGTTCCTCCCAAAATATTTGTTTCTCCGGAATCTCAGTATGTGTTTCTAAACAAGTCGGCAACTTTTTATTGTTGGGTTCAAGGTGAATCGTTTAAGAAAATAACTTGGCGTAAGTTGGAAGGTAACGTGCTCCGTGAACTACGTTCATCAAATGGTATTCTTCATATCAATAATGTCCAGAGGTCACACATTGGATCATACTTATGTACAGTCTTCACTAACTATGGAGTATTCCGAGCAGTGGCCATTTTAGGAATAAAAGGTACGGCACGTCATAATAGTTATTTTTATTCTTTTTTTGTTCTGTTTCTTTTTCTGCTCGCATGGCTCTATTGCAGTTTCGTTATTGCGTTTTGGTAACCTGTTGTTGTAAATAGAGACAAAGTTTTGCGTTCCTTTTTTTCACATGAACGCGTAATTTAATTTTGTGTAATACACAATTCCAAGAAATAGTGACTTCCTGTTTAAGACCAAGGGGCTTCCACCAGCTATAAACTATTTCAGCTGACGTTTGTGATACTTATTTGATAATTTTTTAATTATTTCAGTATCTCCAAGCTTATATATATCGTTATCATATGTCATAATGTTCAGCGGCAGGTTGTCATTATTTGCATAATTAAACAATAGTCTCACCTAGCTGTTTTCCCATAGTAGTTTCTTTATTTCATGCCGGGTCAGTAGCAGGGGCATAGCTACCTGTACGCACGGTACGCACGTACGTATCTGAAAAAGTCGTGTACTAAAGAGATATATAATGATTAAATAATAATAAAATAAAAAGTTAATTCTAAAAAGAAAGCAAAATATCTAAAGATAATTATTTTAAGAGCACAGTTTGCCTTAATTCATTCAACTCAGGTTGTTTCTTTGAAATGTATATTTTTTCTACAACAACGGACTTTTTTTCCCTCTCCACTAAATGTCGGTTTCCCTAGAAACGAAGTAAATCATTCAGTAATGGACCGAATCTTGGATAGCATACACGTATATATCTAGTGAAGAGCTGGCAGGCATTTTTACTCAAACCGTTTCCTAACCGTTTATGCACATCGATAAATCCTGGGAACAACGACGAAGGCGACGGCAATGAGCCCAGTAAGTAAATGAAAAAAACAACAAATATTGCACGTCTAGCGCGCTTTTGGTGCAAAGTGATTTGGCGAATTCTGCGTACCTCTGAAAAAATCCTGGCTATGCTTCCGCAGTAGAACGCCTGAAACTTCACTCCAGAAACCAATTTTAAAGTTTTCACCCGTTTGAGCTCAAAGTTTGCAGAATAGTAGAACTTTGATGTTTTGTATATAGTTTTAAGTTTTAGGGAAGATGATTAATTTACAAAATTATGTAATAGATTAGTGCCAGTAAAGTAGGAAAGTGTCCTCAATTAGATAACTGTTAAGCTAAATATATTGACACTAAAATGAAGTTATTATTATTATAATTGTTTTTTTTTTTTGCTTTATGACGGGAAAATTACGTGAAAAAATTGACAGAAAAATTCAAATTTCAACTAATTAAAATAAATTTGTTAGGACCACGACGCGACCAACTGAAATGAGATAAAAAAAAATTGAAAAAGTCGATTGTTTATGAAGTTATTCAGCTTTGATTCTTTAATTTCCCGCCATTTTGTTACTTTTTTTAGGAACATATTAAGTACATCTCCTTCGGATCACATGAGTAAATTTTAACGCGACTTGCACGGTCGAGAGAAAATTTGGTATTATTTGGAAACCTGGATTTACGGACCTCTTATATCCATTCTTAGAAAGGGAAAGAAAAATTTGTACCTGACTTCGTTGTCTTTTATTGATGGTAAAGAAATGTGTTAAAGGTGTAATGCACATACAGACTTGTATTTTCGCTTTTTGTTTTTGAAGAAGTTCCCTTCGCCACTCGATTGCCAATGCTAAGATATATCGATCTTATTAATAAACTAAAACATGCTTGAAATCCAGTTTTGACTTTTTGAAAATAGAGAGCTAGGAGTGGGCTGCTAATCGCGTCAACGATTGATCTAATTGAAGGCTTAAATTTACCTACAGCATCTCCGATAATAACAAGAAAGCCTCCGCCTTACGTATATGTGGATGGAGGATCCACCGTGAAGCTCTGTTGTGAGGCAGACGGTCATTTGGTGTGGTCACGATTAGGAACAGCTCTTGCCTCGCCTCCTTTTTTTCAGCAAGGTGGATGTATCACCATAATCAACCTGAACAGAGAAAACGCCGGAAAATACATTTGCCGTGCAACCAATCAGTTTGGAATATCGGAGGCAACTTCTCAAGTAATTTTGACAGGTGATCATCTCTATTCAGTGTTATTCTCGTAAAACGTTATTTTTTGTTTCGTTTACACACTGTCTGGTGTCTGTAAGTATCATATAACGGTGGCAAATATTTCTGCATATGACAAAACACAATGTATGGTTAAGAGAGTGTTGTTTTAAGGTGGCTCGACCCGGTTTTTTAGTACAACAGCTACTCTCTTTGAACACGAAATGCAAAGGTGCCTCAAAGATAATAAATCTCTGGTTGAATGTTATTGCCGCAACAACGAAACGTTTCATAAACAAAGCTTTTCTCTTTTCTTCAAGGGCTGTCATTTACACTGACTGCATCGGAAGTAAACTTAGTTTTCAGCCATCTCGCGTATGAAAATATAAGAAAAAGCTTCACCCTATTACCAATAGTGTAAACTAATAAAAAATTATTGTACATTTTGTGGCACAGATTGCTGCATGCACAATTCAAAGTTGGCATAGTGAAAGTATTCAATGAATTTAAACACCGTTTGCCTTCATTTTCAGTTATGTTGTATTTTGCTTGAAATTAAAATTTCGTGGGATTGAATGATAATCAGATGTGCAACATATTGAATTAATTATAACTTTAGAGTAATATAATTGTCACTGAGAAACCAAGTCGAGCCACTTAAGGGTGTTAGCCTGCGGGCAAACTCTCAACCGCTGGCGCGTAACTTCCTACCATATCTTCCAAATGGAGAGATTGCTAACTGACTATAAGTCAGAGTGATTTTATCATACTCTTTAGTCAAGATTCCTTTATCATTGCCTTGCCAAGCCACATTAGATATTAATGTGTTTTTATGCTGCCAACCCATGAGGTTATAACCGTCTTTAGGGGGTGATAATCCCCCCAAGTTAAGGGTAGTGAGTGAGAACCCGGGATATTGTCTTGATCCTTACTCACTATTTGTGCATGAAAGAGAACTTTTTGGGCACATTAAAGAAAACTACAGAAACTAACTAGAAGCTAAGTTATACATCAATGTGAATTAAAGTTAATGTGATAAATATACCCGCTTAGAATCCTTATAGAGAGAATAAACCAGTTCACTTCCCGTCACAGTGACTTTCTGCCTGTGATCCTATCGTGTCAAATGACTGACAGCCAATTAGAGGCAAGCTCTCAAACACCAGTAGATTCGCATGATTTCATGCTTAGCACAGCAGAAATCATTTAATGCAAAACTAAAGCCCCTCCCTGACCCTCCCCAGTGGCTATTTTATTTTGTCTGTTGGTCCAGTTTTGCTTATAATCACTTTGCATATATCGTTATTCCAATTCATTTGTTGATTTTAACACGTAGACCTTAATACCACCACAAGGTTCTGTACTTGCTGATAGGGAACTTCTCAGTTAGAGTATTTCACCCATTGTGGTGAAGTCAGCCGTTGTGACGTCATAATTTGACATTTTGTGTTAAACAGAAACTTTTAATTACCTGGTCAACATTTCAAAGTCTATCTGGCAAGCTTGGTCAAGAGATAAGAGGAAATGCAATAGATACGTAAATGTAGCCTAATTGATAATTTTGAGGGGTGGTTTGGCCCCACCGTGAAGGAGAGAGAAACAGTTTTTACCGTTGAAATGTGACATAATCAATTTTTCGGAGAGCCTATTTCAATTTCACAAGATCCTTTTAACATATGTTGACCTTTTTTTCCAAATAAACATTTCCAGCCAAAAGACAGCATAACGAAGAATTTTTAATTTGTACGTTTTGTCTGTGTTAATAATCAAACTAACGCTCTATGACGAACTTTCAGGGCCATGTGAAGTTCAAAGTCAATCCTTTGAGGTACATACTTCTTTGTTTATACTAACATGTCAGTGCTGTTTTGAAGTGTTACACAGACTCTCTTGGTGAAGGGAAGGGGAGGAACGGGCCGCGGGATTTTAATAGTTTGTAGTAATATTTCAAACACCTAGCCTGAGAAAACAGCCGAAATTTCGCGACGCCACTAACGGTTTCCCCTCGAGAAGACGTTTGAGAAACGAACGCAGAAATACCATACTGATGACGCCGTATTGACGCGCCATCAGTATGGTATTTCTGCGCTCGTTTCTCAGATGTCATTTCGCGGGGAAACCGTTAGTGGCGTCGCCAAATGTCGTCTGTTTTCTCAGGCTATCAAACACCAAGCCACTATTGTTTTTTTCCGTATACTGCTTGGTTGAAAACTTTTCTTCCCTACTGGGATCCTCGGTCCTATGCTGAAGCAGAAAGGGGTTTACTGTTCAGTATTTTTTGCAAATTAATTGTAACCACCAAGTTGGAGTTTTAAGTATTTTTGGTCTTACGAAGGCTTTGATTTATATGAAAAAGAAATTCACATGATTAGAATTACTGCCTCACTTTCCTTACCATTTCAGACCTACTGTCACTCGGGCTGGTTGTTGATTGCTCGGTTCTCAAATAATGATGGCAAAAATTGGATGAAAGACAGTGGTGACTGGTGGTATGACCGACGAAATGCTGCTTGAGCAACAACTGATCCGTCAGCTAACGCTGACATGTTCTCACAAGCATTTTGGAAGGTCAAAGGCAAAGAGTTTAAGATCACACGCAGTGATGATCGCGGTCACACGCCACTGTTGCAGACAACAGGCAACTGCTTGAATGGAAAATCCTTCAGTTCGAAAATAACAAGTAATGGCGATTTTAGAAATGGCAAAGTTTGGTCCAGCAACAGGTGCCTGGGAAGCTGCACGGTTCAATATGGCGGACAGTACAAGACATCAGACGGGTTTCAACAGGCTGAGTGTAGTGGCAACATCCAAAGCAGCAACAAGATCGGCTTCTGGTGTGACTGGGAAGGTGGTGATGGATCGGTGATGATGATTGGCGGAGGAGGAAGGTACTGTAACCGTGCTGATCACGGGATTGGAATAACAGAAGTAGGTGATGCTTCTTTTGTTGTTCCCGATAGCACTGAAACTGAATATGACTTTGGATATGACGCTAATACGGGGAATGCTCCAACCCAGTCCTACTCACTGAACTTGTGGATCCGCTAATTGACAGTGATCTTGACTTACTTGTTCATAAAAAGCACATCTATGTAGATACGAAATACGACAAAATGCAAGAGGGTATCTTATAACAACACACCGTATAGATGGGGAGGTGCCGCTTTCTTAATCAAGCCGCAAAATAAATTACAATTATTATTCACTTCTGATTGTGCCAAGTCAGCATGTTTATTTTACGAGGTCAATTTTGAAACCCTTGACCGCGCTGAAAAGTGAGGTCTACACCGGTGATCCTGAACATGCATATGGAGAAGTCATGCAATAAAAAGAGAAAATCCCATTTTAAATTAATTGTTAAAACTATCAAAAAATTAATACCCGACTACGCCTAGATGTGCTTTGTCTACTACAGTTGTATCATGGTGTAAACAGGAGAGTTTTGTGCGCTATACGACTATATTGAAATGCCCAACTGAATTTAAAGGTAAAATTAGCCAAAAATGTTGAAAACATATTCTAGACTTGTTTATTAGTTTCTACTTTTACAATTTATTTGTTTTTTTTTCTTTATTATGTTATCTTGTCCTCATCCATATTACGATTTAACCTATTATTAAACTTCCCTTAGTTAGCCTTAGTCTTAATTTCATATTTTGTACGCGTTGTCCCGCCTCGAATAGCCTTGCTAGCTGCGGGCAATACTTCTATAATATTAAATGTTTATTAATAAAGTTTGTTGTTGTTGTTGTTTGACTTAAGCCATCATTAGGACTTTTTCCACAACTTAACAATCAAATGGATGTGGTTCAGGGAATTATGACCCGAAGCAAAGAGCGTAAAAGCTTCCTTAGTCCGTGTCATTCATTATTGGATAGTGTCAACTTATCTGTAAACTGTTTCAGCTCATACTTTGTAATCTTTGTACATGCAGACTAATGTCTTGACCAAAACGCGTTACTAGGCTAAGTAGCTATAAAGGGGCTTTCAAGCCCCCTTCTCTCCCAAAGCCAGAGACGGGGGCAGGGTTCAGTCATATTAGATAAGAAGGGTTACTGGTTAGAGGATTTACGATTAGAAGTTAAGAAACACTAAATAATCAATTTCTCTTAGTCTTTGTAAGTCTGATAAAACACTTCCACTTCGTGCGGCGTAAATTTGTAGGATCCTGCAAGGAGGTTCTGCACTTTGCTTGATCCGTACGTGTATCCCGTTATTTGGACATAACTGTGACCCAGGTTAGAGTACGAGTTAGTGTTGGAGCCGGCACCATTAGCGATATAAAAGTCATGGCCTCCACCAAATGTTGGACCATAGTTGCTGTTTCCATATATGGCGTTTTCAGTTCTCTTGGGGTGAAGCATAAACGGTTCCAGGCCATCTTTATTTTTGAAGGAAAAAATGAAGCTGTGAGCTGAATCTGTGTATGAGCCACCAGAATCTAATGAAAAAGAACAAATTAGGATTAATCTTACACCACAGTAACACGTTTTTTTTTTTAAAGAGCGGCCAAGAAAGTTGAAGTTTGGAGTTCAAGTAATCATGAAAATGACTAAATGAATTGAGTTTAATAACATTACAACATGCAATTTTCGATAATGCACAGCTCATTAGATGAGCATTAAAATGTTAGTATTCGGCGCTCGAATTCTAGGGTTAGTCAGTCGATCCCTAGTCGGGAAAAGAAAAAAAAAAACCCGGCTACTGTGGCTAGAATGTGGAAAGTGAAGAGTGCTTCGTCCAGTCTGAGGTTTCTGAGCGTCAAAAGCTACATACATCACCATTTAAAGCGGATTTCTGGCTATTCAGCAAAGCAATGAACTCCAAAATGAGAGATTTTTAGAGTTTTTCCCTTTGTATTTACTCCAAAATACGGTTAATCGAACACGCCCTAAGAGTTTTCGAGTGACTGTCCTTACCGACATGAGGAAGGATTATTGAGTCTCATCTCCAAAATGCAGCTGCGTCAATAATTCGGACAAGTCCCTCAAGCTCTGCTCAAGTTTCTATTTTAACTACTGTTATGATTAATTATTTTTTAATTATTGATTTATATTGTGTATAAATAACAACAAGAAGTTTTTGAAAGTACAAAAGTTAACAAATAAAGAATCGTGTATTGTTGGTGTTAATATTCCCTAGCATAAGAATCTTCATACCTCTAGTCACCTACATTGACCAACGCATTATATTTATACTTACGCCAGTTTCGGTCAGTGTATCCTCCAAAGATATACTCTCCTACTTTTACAAACGTCAATGAGGGACCCCGGCTATTGCATTTAGAATGGAATGTACTGGAACTCCATCCATGGTCTGTAGCTCGATAGCACAGCTTCCACTTAGACGGCTCCATAGATACCGGTTCCAACCAACCTTTAAGTAGTTCCCAATACTCTGTGTTGTTAAGAAGGACTACTGATGGTTCAAACTCAGGCCCTGTATGAATTTATAACAATTAAATCAAAGGATGATATTTAACCCTTTAATCCACAAGAGTGCCAATTGGCTAACGGTAACATAACTTTGCAAATATTGGCTGATATTCGTCTTAACGTTGCCATGCTCAGTCTACTACTATCTTTTCCTATTTAAGGGGCTGTTTCCATGAAGGAAGGAAGATCCTAGTACCAGGAAGATTAAAAAGGGCGGAACAATTTTTTGCGAGGTTAGGATTACAAGCAGAAATCACGGTCCTTGTAGTTACTAAATTGAGAAGGAATAGAACAAGGCGGGTGACAATAACAAAAATGCAATTTGTGCCCTTCTGCTTTCTTTACGAGCGTTTCAGCAGAATTATCACAATATATCAGCCGATGGTAACGCCAGACGAAATGCTCGGCCTTTATTGTCGTGATTACTCACTGAACGACCTGGCTTTGTCCGGTTTGTCGCTACTGCTGGAGCAGAATACAGAAAACAGATGGCAAGCGCTTGGATGATCCACTTTCTTCCTTGCGCTAGGATCACAAAACGATAAGAGTAGACTGAC